TGCGCCCTGGGCCAAAGACAGGCGCTAAACTGCTGCGCCACCCAAGGATCCCTGATCGGTAATTAAAAAACAAAAATTGTTTCAGAAATTTGTAATTGTCCAGTTCTAGTTGAAGGGTTTATGTCTGTTATTCTTAAAGTTGAAGTATTTATTAAGTAGTAGGAGATTTAAGACTATTTTCAAACTTCCTGAGCCTAGAGACTGGAGGTTCAAGTTCACTTTTCAAGTTTAAATGAATGTCATGAAGTCTTCAGTCAGATATATTTTCTTGAGCATGTGCTGTCTCACTGTGTGCTCACCTGGCCTTTCTTCTGTGTATGTGGTGGGGGAAGGACTCTCCTTCTCTTCTTACAGGGCCACCAGTCCTATGGGATTAGATCCCTACCCTAATGACCTCATTTAACCTTAATTACCTCCTCTAAACGTGCTATCTCCAAATATAGTCACATTGGGGCTTAGAGCTTCAATTTATGAATTTGGGGGAGGCACAAGTCAGCTCATAGCATTTACTAAACTTCCTCATCTGTAAAATAAGGACAATAATACTTGTCTCATTGGGTTATTGGGAGGATTGAAAGACTATCCTGATATGTCAAAGGTATCTGATGTTTGTTTTCTTTCATTTTTTTAACCTTTTTCTTTTGGAGAGAAAATAATAAAAGTGAAGAATGTCATGACTCCATGGTTATATGTGGTTCTAGTGATAGAATCCTAGAGCCAGATGGTCCCATAGAAGTGAAATGACTTGTGCAAGGTCACCTATTAAGTAAGTTACAGAAACTGGGCCAAACCTTAGGTCTCAGAACCATTAGGTCTGTGTTACACTACACTGTGTGACACTACACTGTGTGACTTATTTTGCTCAGAGTTGACAAGAGTGGATGGACTGCTCAGCAGGCTTAGATTTGTCTTGGATATTTAACAGCAATGCCGCTCCCAGAAACATGCAGGCATTATGGGCTGAGTGGAACGCTATGTGCCCTGTGTAAAGCTATCCTTTCATTGGATTAATGAGCTGGACAGCCTCTTTTGCTATGCACAGGTCTGGCCTCACAGTATCTAGTTTCAGAAAAGCATGATTGGCCAGCATGCAGGTCAGGGAGAAAAGGTTCTGTGGGGGTCACTAGTGCCCTTGGGGAGAGGGGATCGTGCTTTTCACTGGGAAGGAGGCTCTGTACCAACTGCATTCAAAAGTGCACCAGCTCAGGCAGCTGAAATAATTTGCTCTCTAAGGGATTTGGGTTTTGAGGGACAATATCTGTGATTGAATGACTCTCCAACTGAAGTTTTCATGGCTCCAATTACTCTGATCATTTCAGCCTGCATAAACATTCTTTCTCTAACCTTGGGTGGCTGGGTACATAATCCCAAACTGACTGGTGAGAGGGTGGAGAATGTGCTGTTTCCCAATTGATAGAATTTAGGGGACAATGGCTGGGGCCTAGCAGAGTGGCTCTGTGCCTGAACTCCCACCATTAGCAATGGATTCTTTTGTGTGTTGAAGGCTTTGGGGTCATTATGATCCCTCTTTGAGACTTCAGTACCACTATGTAGGATGGGAGGAAGCAGAGCTTTGTGAGTCTAGATTATCAGGCAGGTATCAGACCCTGTGGAAGGGTGACCCAGAGTAGACTGAGAAATGTTGTAGCTGATAGGCAACCAACCATGAGTTCATGAAACCCCCTTGATCTGCAAGGAAACCAAAGTAAAAAGACTTCTGCATCTGGTTACAGCAGAACCAAATCAGATACCCAGACTTTTGACTTCTGCTTTATCCTATTTATTTAGCATAAACAGTGATGAAGAAAATAGACTGGCTGTAGAAGGGTGAGCCCCATAACATAGAAAATGGGAAGGACAAACTCTAACTGGTTCCCAGGAATGCCTAAACCCATACTGGTATCTGAATTCATGCAGGAAATCCTCTCTTACAGAGTCATCCCTAAATTCATTCATATGTTCAATTCTTGAATCATGGGGCTTGTTTTTCCATGGAAATAATAGTTGAAATGTTTCAAATGGTGAATTAGGTTCCCTGAGATCTGTGTACAAATACCTATTTAATGGAATACCTGAAGCATAGTATTAATAGGAGTATTTCAATTAATCCTGCTCAACACTTGTTACATTATTACTTCTATGGGAATATAATATAGAATAAATTTTAGATCAGGTGAGAAGAAAGGCACCTCTCACATAGGACAGGGGTGGCTCTCCTGAAACACAATGTGGAGATTGGGATAGGACACAAACTAGGAAGGGTGGGCAGGAAGGCAGCCATCCTCTTTGACCCTCAGCTCTAAAATAAAAACAGGGCAGCCTGGGTGGCCCAGTGGTTTAGTGCCACCTTCAGCCCGGGTCGTGATCCTGGAGACCATGTCGAGCTCCCTGCATGGAGCCTGCTTCTCCCTCTGCCTGTGTCTCTGCCTCTCTCTCTGTGTGTGTCTCTCATGAATAAATAAAATCTTTAAAAATAAAATAAAAGCAGTAGGAATAATCTCACCTTGCCTGCTTCATAAGTTTGAGTGAATGACTGAGTAAAATAGTAGATGGGAAAATGCTTTGGAAAAAAATTAAGAAAATATTTAAGTAAAATAAGCCCTTTATAGGTTAGTAACTCCCTATATGGTTTGCTGGGGTAGTTGAGGGGGGAGTGGTAAGGTGGTGGTAGTGCTATGGTGCTATGTTCAGGCCTCATGTATCAGTAGTAATGATAATATAACAACAGTAGTTATGGTAAACTAATGTTTACAGAAACCTTTCTAGGTGCCAGACATGGTCCTGGGTGCTTCGTAATACTAATTTATCATACCCATTATAATGGTTCATGGTAATGTATTAACTTGCTGGGCTATGGTACCCAGATATTTAGTCACACTAGTCTAGATAATTGCTTTCTAGGTACTTTTTGGATGAGGTTAAATTTAAATCAGTAGACTGTGAAGCAGAGTGATGGGCCATAATTTGATGGGCCTCGTCCAGTCAGTTGAAGGAGAAATTTTGCCTCCAGACTGACCCCAAACTCAAACTCAAGCCTAGATAAACTCTTGCCTACAGATCTGCAGATCTGTTGATTTTGGACTTGCCAGCTTTAATAGTCATGTGAGTCAATTTCTTAGTTATTCATTCTCTCCATCTCTATCTCTGTGTGTATCACACACACACAAACACACTGACATACACACATTTTGTTTCTCTGAAGGATCCTGACTAATAACCAATTAACAGGGAAAGAAGTTAAAACATTTAATACAGGAATTTTCTTAAGTAAGCAGCTATGGCAGAGACCAGGTAATTGTTTACCAAACCATTTTTCATTTGCCTGAGGGTGCACAGCTACACTGTATTTCCAACCTCCCCTGCAGATGGGTGAAACTGTAACTGAGTGCTGGTCCATGGCTAGAGGGTGAAAGTGAGACACATACTCAGACCATAATCGCTCTTCTCTGACTTGCTAACTCCAGGGCTCTGGATGAAGACATGGATACAGAGAGCCTGAGTCCCTGCATGGAGCAGAGCCTCTTGGCCAAAAACACATTGTAGAATGACATGAAGTGAGCAGTAAACCTGTGTTTTGTTTAGTCTCTGAGATTTGGGGTCTGATGTTGTTAAATATAGGACTTTTCCTGGCCAATATGGGTGTGTAGCTAAATTCAAATCTGGCCATCAGACTCCAGACTCTGAATGCTACATCTCTGTGCTGTTCAGATGCCCTTTGCATTCATTAGTCAAGAGTTCAAAGTAGGAGGGATCCCTGGGTGGCGCAGCGGTTTGGCGCCTGCCTTCGGCCCAGGGCACGATCCTGGAGACCCGGGATCGAATCCCACGTCGGGCTCCCGGCATGGAGCCTGCTCCTCCCTCTGTCTGTGTCTCTGCCTCTCTCTCTGTCTGTGATAAATAAATAAATAAATCTTTTTTTTTTTTTTAAAGAGTTCAAAGTAGGAAATGCCTCCTTCACTTTTCCTGCCTGCTCCTAAAAAACCAAGGATGCCTGGAAGGCACAGAACACCTTATCCTGGAGCTAAATGTTAAGCGCCACACACTAGGGGCCCGAAGCTATGCAAGGAAAGTGAGAACCCTGAATATGTATGAGCAGGGAGCAGAGGCAGATGTGCACAAAATGTGTGCTTGATCTCTTCCCTGATTTCCCTGGATGTGGCATTTGTCTTCCCCGAGCAGGGGAGCTCCTGGCTCTTCATGAACTAATAAGCTTGGTCTGTTTATATTGGAGTAGGCTGTGGAAATATACAGCATGTTCTGGCCAGTGCCAGCCATTCCTCACTCTGAGGGGCTTTTTCCAAGCTCAGTTCAACAAAGGAGGAAAGAGCTGCCCCAGCGCTACTCAAGGAGGCTGGCGCAAACACATTTTTCCACATAAATGCTGCCGTCTATAAACAAAATCAAGGTTCAGGGAGAGAGGGGGTGGCTTCGTCTGCCCTTTTCTCTGCAGTCTGGACTGCTTAGGCACTGGTACCTAGGCCAATAACCCTGTCTAGTCTGGGGCAGTTATACTTTTCGGATTTGTCGAGGATCAGAAAAACCTAAGTTTGGAAGGCAACAGACTGGACTCTTATGATCAGATTCAAATGAATTGACCAAGTTTTTTCACCCCAGAGAACACAGAAATCCTGGGAGGGAAACTATAAACTGAAAAGGGTTATATTGTTACACGAAGGCTTCCATCAAAGCCGCCCTAGGAACCCTGCGCACGTTAGGTTTTATATTGAAAGGTGACCTTGCCCACAAGCTCAGGTACAAAGCCTGAACCTCGAGACATGTGTTGTCTGGCTGAGTCTTTCTTTGAGAAGAATTTGTTTGGTTTAGGAAAACATGAATTTAAAATTAGGATAACAACTATGTGGGGTCAAAAGATTTTTTTGATAGGTATTTCACTTTTTAACTAGTGTCAGATTGTTTAATTTCAGCTTCTGTCTAGCCCAGTCTTTAAAAAAAATTAGAACATGATTTTGTGCAGCCTGACCAGTTAATTTATTTTTACCGTATAGACCACTAACTACTTTTGTTTAAATGAAAGATTAGAGAAGATTGGCATGACCCTCGTGCAAGGCTGATACACAGATCTGTGAAGTGTTCCATATTTAAAAAAATTAAACAGTCATTGCTTTCCTGTGGTTTAATAGAACTCCAGTATTTTAAACCAGCATGTCAGATTTATGGGGATGGGGGTATGTGGTTTGATAAAGCCGCCTGTGGGTTTTCCCTGCCCTACCACACTTCCCCTTCTGTAAGAATCCCTGTTTTGTGGTGGATTGCTGGGCATCTTCTGGAGCTTGAGACAGGTTTCTTGAGTGCAACAGAAGGCAGTTTGGGATGATATCAGGTAAATAGAGGTTTATTTATTTATATTATGAATTACCAGATTTGATGACAGGCTAGGAGACTAAGCTTGGGAATGATAAGAACCAAGGAAGCACCACAGACCGAAGAAGCAGGACATGAGACACACATAGCAATGTCTGTCTCCCAGCAGGAACCAAGTGGCTGGGACATGACCACTACTGTTGCCTGTGCAATGAAGATCACCTCTAGGTAGGCAGAATTCTGTAGAGGACCCAAGATTCCTGTCCCCTGTTACTGTAGAATATGAATCTGTGAAAGGATTTTCTGGGTATAAAGTCCAAATCAGTGGACCTTAACATGTGGAGATGATTGGGATGGGCCTGATCTAATCATGTGAGCTCTTTAAAGCAGAAGAGGAAGGCAGAACAGGAAGTAGAGAGATTCAAAGCATCAGAAGGGTGCTATGTGCTATTGCTGGCTTTGAAGATGGAGGGACCACAAAACAGCTGCAAGGAGCTGAAAGTGACCCCCTGCCAACAGCTAAAAAGGAAACAAGAAACTCAGTCCTGCAACTGCAAGGAACTGAATTCTAATAACAAGAATGAGCTTGGAAGAGGTGTCAGATGGGTACACGGCATCTTGTGAGATCTTGTGTCAGTCAGAGTTCTCCAGAGAAACAATCAATAGGATGTATATGTAGGTATATATAAGAGAAGGTTTAACTAATTTATTTATTTATTTATTTATTTATTTATTTATTTATTTATTTATTTATTTATGACAGTCACACACACACAGAGAGAGAGAGAGAGAGGCAGAGACACAGGCAGAGGGAGAAGCAGGCTCCATGCACCGGGAGCCCGATGTGGGATTCGATCCCGGGTCTCCAGGATCACGCCCTGGGCCAAAGGCAGGCGCCAAACCGCTGCGCCACCCAGGGATCCCCAAGAGAAGGTTTATTGTAGGAATTGTCTTGCATGATTATGGAGGCTGAGAAGTCTTATGAGCTGCCATCTACAAGCTAGAGAACCAGGAAATAATACTAAGTCCTGAGGCCTGAGAATCAGAAAGCTAATAGTATAAATGCTGGTCCAAGTATGAAGGCCCAAGAACCAGGAGCACTTATTCCAAAGGCAGGAGAAGATGGATGTCCCAGCCTAAGAGAGAGCAGATTTGCCCTTCCTCCACCACCTTTTTGTTTTATTTAGGCCCACAGTTGGATCATGCCTTCCCAGATTGGTGAGGGCCATCTCTTTTCCTTACTGATTCAGCTGCTAATCTTTTTCAGAAACACCCTCTCAGACACACCCAGAAATAATACTTTACCATTTATGTGGGCATCCCTTAGGCCAATCAACTTGACATATAAAATTAGGCATCACAGACCATGAGTGAAGAACACAACCACGACATCCCTGAATTCTGACCTACAGAATAATGAACAAATGCACATCAATTTAAGATGCTAAGTTTGTGGCTATTTGCTATACAGCAATCAATAACTAATATACTGTGCCCCATGTCATTTGGGAGTTAAAAAGTCTGGGAGACAGTGTCCGATCAGGTGAGCTTAGACCATGTACAGGTCCCTGACTGTATCCTTGGGCAGATACTGTATGGATTGGTCATTTTCTTTGTAGTTGGAAGGCAGGCTCTAGGAATTACCTCCTGCCTTGGCTACACACTGGAAAAGAACTGATTTCCAAAATGAAATCGAGGTGTGGTTAATAAGGGAATGGGAGCTAGGTGGCCCTGGCAAATATCTACCACAGAGTTTTTTTTCTCAGTAAATGTTCTGGGGTATCTCCTCCTCAGCCTGCCTGTGGTCGCTTAATGGCCAGGTGTCAATCACACTTAAGTTCCCAACATCCCTTTTTGTTTGGGAACCTCTTACATAAAAATAAGGATAATGTATCCTAAATGCCAGTGTTCCAGGACAGGCTTAGGTATGTTTAAGAGATGGAGTGGTACAATGAAAAGACTAAGTTTTGAAGTCTAGACAAGAGGATTTTAATCCTGGGTTTTCTGCTGTGTTATTTCAGACAATCAGCGATACCCCGTGGATTTAAATTGCTTCTCTGAAAACTGCGCTTTGTGATTATTGGTCTTAAATTTGCTCATTCATTTAATATTTACTGGAAGTTGAAATATGTCAGGTTCTAAGGATGTAGCAGTGAGCAAGGCTGGCAAGATCCTTGAAGTACATGGTTAACATTATTGAGATTAGGGAAAACCTCTCCATAGAGGTAGTATTTGAGTTGAATTTAGGGACGTGAGACTGGGTCTACTATGAGATTATGAACAATGTGTTGATTTCCAGGCTGTTAAGCCATCATCATCATGGTGGGGCATAATCTAGATATGGTCCATGGGCCATATCTGGCTTCTGGTTTTTATATTTTAAATGGTGTATTCATTTTCTAGGGCTGCGTAATAAAGTACCACAAACTGAGTGACTTAAACCCAGATTTATTTTCTCACATTTATGGAGGCTAAGTCCAAAATCAAGATGTCATCAGGGTTGTTTCCTCCTCAGGGCTATGAGGGAGGACATGTTCTATGCCTTACTTCTAGCTTGTGGTAAGCCTCAGGCATTCCTTGGTTTGTAGATAATGTTCTCCTGTGTTTCTCTCAATGTCCACATTTCCTCTTTCTATAAGAACACCAGCCTAATAATGTCATCTTAACATGACTATCTCTCAAAGATCCTTTTTCCAAACAAGGCCACATTCTGAGGTGCTAAAGATTAGGACATCAATATATCTTCTCTGGAGAAGGGTAGGGAGTGGGACACAATTTAACCTATAACAAATGGCTACATTTAAAACAGTTATATAAGTACCAACATAATGCCTTCAATTTTGCCTCTCACCCCACGAAACCTAAAATATTTGCTCTTTAGTAAAACAGTTAATCAACCCTGATCTAGACAGGTGGCTCTCAAATTTTAGGATGTGTCTGTCTCTGAGAGGGCCTCACTTCCAGAGTTTTGAGAATCTGTGAGTGATACTGATACTGTTAAGCTAGACAGTGGACCCAGATGTGGGCTCTTAGATGTGCCACATCATCTAGGGAATTTGTTGTCGGTATAGGCTCCTGGTGATGCAGACTCAGTCAGAATACCCAGTGATGAGGCCAGAGGTGATATTAAAATGCAACCAGGTCTATTGGTCTAGTTTAATTACCTTGGTCAGGAAGAGCAACTGACTGGATTAATAATCCAGTGATTCAATTGGTTGTTTGGGCCTCATCTGTCTGGGGTAGATCAGAGTGATTGGGGAATCCTGTTCTCCTTGTCAGGACTTGTGCAGAAAGAAAACATCATCAAGAAGTGTATATGGTCTAAATTCTTCAAGGCCAGAGACCTTTGTTTGGGCTGTTGCATAAATATTATTATCATTAAGTGGCTTGTCAGCAGCTCATGGCAAAAAAAGACATATTGACCTCAAACTCAGTTGGAGCCAACAATAATGTGGGACATCTGCTCAGAGACCTCAGGCCTCCTGGGCTGCTCTGAGAGTGGTTTACTATCCAGACTACAGAAGGTAACAGTCCCGTGTGCACTGGGCCCCATGTGCTGTGACTTCCTGGTCAATTAAACTTCAAGAGAGATACTGATATACTGGAACATTCCAAGGGAGGGAGATGAAGGGTCTGCAAACCACGTTCAAGAAAGGAGTTGAAAGAGGGCTTGTAAAATGGTGGCCTGCAGGCCCAATCCAGCCACAGACATGTTATGCTCAGTAATCCAGTGGTTAAAAATTTCTTGAAATTGAGTGCCTTTGGGCAAAGCACATACTTTGGCCAGTTCTACAACCTCACCACTTCTCAATTCTTTATGCCAGTCTCCTTTACAGGAATTTGTTACCTTCTTGCTCTCTGGGCTTTGCACTTTGAAAACTCTCAGAAGCAATAAAAATATATGATCAGGTCACAGAAAGCTAAGGAGAGAATATGAGCTATTTAAAAATGTCTAAAGATATATACTCACATATCCAGTGTCCATTGAGTACCCATGATGTGCCAGGTTCAGTGTCAGGTGCTGGCAGTATAGCCATAACTAAGCACAATGTGGCCCTTCTGAGAACTAACGTTCTCTTATAAAAAAGACATAGAAAACAATAGCAAACTTTTATAAGCACTTTGAAGGAAACAGCAAAGGTATAAGTAGATAACAATAAGGAACATCTTGGTTTGGATGCTGTGGTCAGGGAAGTTGCTGGCCACTCCAAAAGTGGGGAAAGACCTACCATGTGAAGAGGAAGTGCATCAATCCTGTTTTTCTTCCAAGGGTGGGTAAGTAATCCTGAGAGAGTATATGAAGGGAAGATTTTCTTTCATTAGAATAGAGAACTCTCCAATTTGAGCTCACCATCCATGAATTAAGCAGGCTTTCAAGGTAATGAAGTTCAAGAAAATGGAAATGATAGAGCTGACCACAAATTCTCAGTAGGTGGAGCTATGAAGAAGGTGGTGTGGTTTCCAAAGAGATTCCTTGCAATTCTGAGATTCTCTGATGTGATATGATGACAATAGTGTGAAGTCACAGAAATCCTATTTTGGACCCAGATAATATATAATCTATACTGGGATTATCTTCAAATTCTACAGGCAAACTAAGGAAGCAGATATGCTTGTTTCCAAAGGAACAGAGTAGGTAGGCTGTACAGATAGGATCTTGATATGGGAAAACCCTGAGGTATTAAACTCATGTTTAGAAAAGTGATCTGAAAGTCTGCTATTCCTATAATTATGTTCTTTTGAGGGAATGGGATTGGAAGTCACCTGGTGGCAGTTTCTAT